TTTTAAAACAAACCTGTGCCTGATTGGCAGCTAAATGGAAAATACGAGTTTGGATGCGTGGATGAAGTTATGAGAAGGTTTCTTTCCCAGAGAGTTGGAAGCGTTCTGGATGAAAATGATGTTTTGAGGCTAACTGAGTTATTTAGAGAGAAATCCACATCAAACGCATTCTCGTGTGCTACCTCACCCAAACAGGACCCTCTTGTGGATCCGGAGATCAGGAGGATGTGGTTCATCCAAGATGACACTCAGTCTGGTAGGGGAGACGCAAGTGTCCGATTGTCTGGTCCAGAGTTGTCCTGGGTACACGGTTTGTCAAGCGTTTGGCAGATGGACGTTCTCGTCTTAACTTAACTTCAGAAATCAATGACTCTGGGAGAGTCTTCGTTAGCTGGTTACAGTTCCTTTATTCTTTAGCTTATTCCAGTCAGCGTGACTGAACAGCAGGTGGAGATTCAGGGATTGCCGTTCCCCTTTCTCCGTGGTGTTGGTTCAAGAACTCGTTATGAAGCTGGGGATGGTTAGTTTTACCAAGCTCCAGGACACGCCCAGTCTCTCAGGAAGAAAGCTTTGATCGTGCGTCAAAAACATGTGTGAAGTATTTACCTTGAAGTGAATCCTGCATGAGCTGGACACGTGCAAAGGCATCTTCTGGTTACTGATTAAACATTACTGATTATCATAAATAATAATTATTATTAACCCAAGGTTAATAAGTCATTTCATTAATTAGAATACATTTAATGTGAAAACGATGATTATTTATGATGATTATTATAAACCTTAATAATAATAAGCTTTTATTGAGTTATTTGATAATAGTTGAAGATGTCCTTCATCTTGGGATGGACACTGATAAACAGTCAGGCTGATGATTATTCTTCAGACACTCCAGCTCCTGATGGCTTTAATCTGTGGATAAAGGTTATTTCTTGACCCAGCTGTGACCTAGCTGGAACGTGTACTTTGTCCCAGAAAGATGGTCATCCATAACGCTACAATACTTTATTAATCCCAGAGGGAAATTAGAGTCTCACTACACACAATTCAGAGATCAGACATACATGGGCAAGACTCATGATAAGAATTGGTGACTGTGGTCATTCGCAACCCTGAGTCGCGCTACCTTAATAGAGATCAGAGGGTTACATGAGGATTGGTTAAGGTGGAGGGAAAAAAAGGCACTTCAGAGTTACCCTCCCACCAGGAGGGCAACTTTGCTCTGAAAAACAACACCTAGGACAGACATGCAACAGACTTCAGACAACACAACACAAGTGTCCACTACGTGGGGTGGTGGGTTGGGACTATCCCCACTTCAGTTCCTGCAGCCACGATAAGCAGCGCATGTCACCTCAGTGTGGATAGGGGAGGAGCATTGAGGGTTGGAGGGTTGCAGTGACCCTGGAATGGTTCATCGGCCTTCCTGCAGTCCCGCCCAGGCTGGGAAAGGAGACAGAGTTGAGTTGCCATAGCGACGGCACATTCCACATATCTTCTGAGGGGGGAGTTTTCGTTGTAGCCTTGCAGGCTCAAGGGCGCCAGATTCCGATTAGAAGTTGTTTTGGGGCCAGACATAGATAATTTCCTCTCTGTTTTACAGTCTGCTGGTCCTCAACCTCTCAAAATCCCAATAATGGACGTTAATCTATCCCAATCCGTGCTGATTCGTCCACTCTATCGTTGATGGCGTCCATCTTTTGTGCCAATGAATGAATCTCTGCCAAAGTCCCAAGCTTACAATTAATCTCGACAATTATGTGAGTCTGTGAATTCACAGCGCGGTGCAAACCATCTCTGAGCTCCGGGATCAGGCCAATATTCCTCGACAGCTCGTTAATTTTCCGGTAAGCCAGGTATCCTCCAAGGCCAATGAGCAGGAAACCTGACACCAACACCACAAATATCACCTGTAGTTTCGTACCTTTTACAATCATATTTATTCCATTAAGGTATTAAGTCAAATTTCTAATAATTTGGTGCTCTTGTGGGAGCAGATACCTGCAGTCGGTGTGAAGCCGTCCGTGAGCCGTTTGGAAACTGGTTAGAAATCGGTGTGAAACAGACTTACGCCACGTGCATGAAAACTTTTTGCTTGGTGTATGAAATAAAAATGGCGCTCTAGCCTCTGGGCTATTTTACTTAAACTGGCTGTGTTTTAGTAGTCGTATTTTATTACAACACAGGGTTTGTACTGTTCAGTAGCGTTCCAGTTAAACACCTGTTGTCTTGCCTGTTGTAGACACCGTCCGTTTGGTGAAAACAATGATCACTCCTTCAGGGCCGATGTGATAAAGGTGACCACTACTTCATCATCAAATGAGTAATCTATCAATTAGAGTCTGACTTTGATGTAATTTCATGAACCCCTTGGGAAGGTTCCTCTGGGAAATCCAGTTTCCAGTAGTAGTGCACCAACACGAGCCAGGAAACATCTGGGAAGAAAGAACTGTACTAGAAAGAATAAAACAACAAGATGAGAAGCAATGGAAATGTAGCAGCAGTATTTAGACCAGGTATCATTGCACATCATGTGGTCTATTGCATAACATCATTATTATCTACTGCAATTAGTCCATCAGTTCATCAAGTACTGGATACACCTGCTGTTTCCTACTTCATCTGTTAAATGCTTGGTTGCCACTAATTCAGTTACTATCCAGCCTGTTTACTTTTATAAATCTCTCCAAAGAACATTTATCTTGATAGAAGTAAAACAACATGAGTCACTGGATCTTTGTCCAGGAATGAGATGCCAGGATGTTTGTGACTCACCAGCTTTGTGTTTGGTTGCTTTAAGGTGATACTCAGGAGGTACTCAGGGCAGAGTGAGAACTTCACCTGGAACTTTGCTTAGACTGTCGGAGTCGAACAACTTGTTCTTAAACAGTGCTAAATTTATTGTAGGAACATTTCTTTGTGAATGAATCAGTCTGAAGGCAAGAGAGCTCCTCATTATCTGAGATGTTCACAGCCTTCCATGCTGGGAAATACAGAACTCCAGCCTGCCTGTGAATCCTACCGCACCATTACCTCTGGATAGATGGAGTGATATCATTTAACCCTAACCCTCTAGTCCAGCAAGAGCTGGTTGTAGCTACTGGCACAGATTTGATGTTGGTTTTGTAGTTGGCTTCTTGTAATTTTGTTTTTTGTCCTTTTCTAGCCTGGCAAGCCATCCTATATATCAACACATTCTCACTCCCAGCGCGTCAAAAACAAACGCTTGGTCAGCCACCCTCCACGTCAGACTCCTGACGCCAAAAGTGCCCTTTTCGTTACTTATATGCGAAAAGGGGTTTTTCCCTTATTTGACTGCAGATCCCAATGCAGCATTACACTGACGCGATGGGATGTCCGCAGCCAGGATACCAAACAAGCTCATTGTACCTCACCTTAACCTTATCCTCTTATTTAACCTTCCCCTCACCCCAACCTAACCTTAACCATCTTGCCAGCGAACACGTTAGTGATGTGTCGATCGCTCTAAAAGCCGGCTCTATGAAGTGAACGGCGGGAGCCGCCTCGTCATTGGTCGAGTTTGGACCGAGCCAACGCGAGGGGGAGGTTTCAACTACCACGGTGGAGGTGAAAAATAGAGGGTATTTGTAACCTCCCCCTCGCCAGATGGTATGTTCTAACATTCCCCTTGGGCAGCAAATACGAAAATTCACAGTCAGACTCTGACTGTCAGAGTCGGAATGCATGGGAAACAAACGCTTGATCACAGTGAGAGTAACGTTTTAGGTAGCAAGAGGGTTAAGTATAGGATGAGGGTGAGGGGAAGGTTATAAATAGTGAAACATTAAGGTTTAGGTGCGGTTAAATGAGCTGGTTCTGTGCCGCATTAGCGGATATCTAATCACGTCAGTTTTACACTGCATTGGGATCTGCAGTTAGAAAAGGGAAAAACCCATTTTCGCACATAAGTAACGAAAAAGGGCACTTTTGGCATCAGGGCTCTGACATGGAGGGTGGCTGACCAAGCGTTTGTTTCCGACGCTTAGGGTGTGAGAATGTGTTGTGAGAATATATATATGTATGTATATATACATATATATATAGTATGTATATATACATATATATATATATATATATATGAATATATATATATATATATATATATATATATATATATATATATATATATATATATATATATATATATATATATATATGAATGAATAGTGTGGCCACGACCCATAAACAGAGCTCAGACATGATCTACGGTTGCCTTTCAGACTGTCTCCACATGCAATTGGACAATGAACAGCGTGATGTACCCACCGTTATGGATGCCAGTCAACGGGGCAGTCAGCCATACACTGTTGAAGAAGACTCACATAATTTTTATCTCCATCTGCTCTTGACTCAAAGAAAAGCTCTAGTCTAAATAGTCAAAAGTCTATGTCAATGCTGTTTCAAATTAGCCAACGCCAACTCTTATGTTCCACTCCATCGTATCATCCCGCCCACGAAATTGATAGAAAGCGGTGATTGGACAGCCTCAAGGCTGGTTTGGCCTGCTGAGGCTCCAGTGTAACGTGGCTAAACCGACCTGCCGAGCAGGCCTGAGCTGACCTGCTTCTGCGGCAGTCAGTCTACATTTCTAATTGAGTCTTTTTCTTTTTTCTGGTGAAAACAAAACTTATTTATTCAAAACATACAAAGTAGTTTCTTTCTCATTTCCACGGGGGGCAGCCAATAACCGGTGATACAAAACTGCAAAATGTCGTCAGTCAGACCAACACCTTCAGTCCAGATCCATCCTCGTGTTTCCTTTTTACATGACAGAAAACAAATCAGAGCCATTTCTGCAGCGGTGTTGGGATGACATTTCCAACTCATCTAGTTAATATCCTGGGAAGTGTGTGTGCAGAAACTTCTCTTTGGCACATTAACAGTTAAGAGACCTGTTTCCTTCATCTCAGTTATTCTTGTTATTCTTGTTTATCTGCACAGCTGTTCCCTCTTTCTGACTTTTCTCTCTCCATCTCAAGGTCACACCCTTCTTCTCCTCACATTCAGAAACAGTAAGTCATGTTTACCCTCCTAAACCTCTCATTGCTCCTGTTGCACATATGACCAGTCTATGTGCCAGGTTTGACCACCTTGTTAAGTAGGAGAACATGTTGGAGACAATAGAAATGGAGCTCTGGATGATCCCAACTCTTACTTCTGTTGAACTTGTTCCATTACCCTGCTGTTTCCTGTCACCTTTTCCAACTTTACTCAGGTATTTATAATGGGACTCCATCTGGGTTGAATGAGTTCACTTTTCATGTCCCATTGCTAACTTATCTGTTACCAGTGCCAGTTTGTCGCTGGCCAGATCAGAAGTTGCCCTATGCCAAGGGTCAGTGTTCCTCCGGCTTCTGACTCATTCCAGTTTAGTCCAGAGAAGAGCGCCGAGCTGGCGCCCACTCTGTGTTTCTTGTAGCATTTAAGGGTAACTCATCACTGACTTCCATTCCGCCTTTGATTGCTGTAACGTCCAGCAATGGTCAGTTTTCACCTACAGATTGACCTACATGCCACCGGTCATCTGCAGACATAAAGTCCATTCTCTAAAGTGGATTTTACATCCTAGCTTCCAACAAACCCAGAAGGATACTGCAGCCTTGTTGACATTTCGGGAGGAACAAGATGTCAGACAGTGTTCCCAAACAAAGCCCTCTTTTAATAACACATTAGGATTGCTAACTCTCTGAATAAAGTGATTATTTTCAGATCAAATTAGTTAATCAATCGTGAAATGAAATGAACAAATGTTATGTGAATTAAAGCTGCAAGCAGCGTCGTTCGGCCCTCGCAGCTCTGCGCCGCTCCGGCCTCGCTGGCAGCCCGGGGCACCAGGGCACGTCCACGGAACAGAAACGTCGACCACCCCAAAACCAGAAACCGCAAGCGATCACCTCATCCGCATCTCACCCTGACTCAGCATCCCCGCTGAGCACACCATTATATTACACGTCTCACAACTAGGGCATACTCTACCTTTACGACTCTGGTGGTGTGATGACACAGACCAACTGTAATGCTTTTCTGACCACGCTGTTTGAAGTTATTGTAGGTTAAACTTATCTTGGTGCACTGGAAAGCTTTCAGATCTTGACAAATATGGGCATTTCACCATAAAACAATAGACTTCCTGTAGTAGGGGGCGGGACTTAGGGGATGTCAGCTGTCCACATTGTCATTATCTTTAGATGTGGTCAGTGATCACACAGACAAAGTTTGATATAGATCTGATCATGCACATGGGAGTTATTGTCAAGAAATGTAATGGCGAAAGGTCAAAGTTTGAGGCTTAGCCACGCCCACACCTTTCAACTTTTGAAAAATCAGACGGTTGAATTTTTTTCCCTATGTCTTAAGAGGATATAGCAGAAGTTTGAAGGCAATTGGTGAAAAGGACGATGGGGCATAATACTCCAAACAATGCCTGCGAAAACCACTAAATCGAGTACTTGGACCAAAACGGCCGACTTCCTGTACGACTTTGCACTTGGCTCCAAGAGACTTTTTTGTAGGTCCTGAGACACCACATTAGTGTACCAAATTTCGTAATCCTCAGTCAAAGCATAGCTTGGGGCTATTAGTTTAAATGGTCCTAGGGGGCGCTATTTCAGAAGTTAGGCCACGCCCACAAATTTCAGATGTCTATGTCGCTTGGGGGTCAGACTAGGATCACGCACCAGAAGTTTCGTAGCAATATCACGATAACTGAAGAAATGAGAGGCAAACATACTTCCATGGCGTGATGGCGATTTTCGCCATGCTCCTGAAGCCCCGCCTTTTTTTGAAACCTGCCAGTACTGGATACCAAGTGACCTCAAGTTGTCTACTGCTGTTTGCCAGAGATTCCTGCTGATTGGGTAAAAGGAGTCCAGTAGGGAGCTGTGAAAAAAAGAGTGGCGTGGCGACAGGTCAAAGTTTGAGGCTTAGCCACGCCCACACCGTTAAACTTTTGAAAAATCCGACGGTTGAATTTTTTCCTCTTTGTCTTAAGAGTATATAGCAGACGTTTCAAGGAGATTGGTGAAAAGGGCGACGGAGCATCACTCTCCAAACAACGTGTGCGAAAACCACTAATTCGAGTACTTGGACCAAAATGACCGACTTCCTGTGCGACTTTGTGCTTGGCTCCAAGAGACTTTTTTGTAGGTCCTGAGACACCACATTAGTGTACCAAATTTCGTAATCCTCAGTCAAAGCATGGCTTGGGGCTGACAGTTTTAATGGCTCTAGGGGGCGCTATTTAAGAAAATAGGCCACGCCCACAAACTTCAGCTGTCTATTTCTCTTGGGGCTCAGACTAGGATCTCTCACCAGAAGTTTCGTAGCGATATCACCAAAACTGAAGAAATGAGAGGCAAACGTATTTCCTTGGCGTGATGGCGATTTTCGCCATGCTCCCAAAGCCCCGCCTTTTTTCGAAACCTAACTGTACTGGATACCAAGTGACCTCAACTTGTCTACTGCTATTTGCCAGAGATTCCTATTGATTGGGTAAAAGGAGTCCAATAGGGAGATGTGAAAAAAAAGAGTGGCGTGGCGAAAGGTCAAAGTTTGAGGCTTAGCCACGCCCACACCTTTCAACTTTTGAAAAATCCGACGGTTGAATTTTTTCCCCTTCGTCTTAAGAGTATATAGCAGAAGTGTGAAAGTGATTGGTGAAAAAAGCAACGGAGCATCACTCTCCAAACAACGTGTGCGAAAACCACTAAATTGCGTACTTGGACCAAAATGGCCGACTTCCTGTGCGACTTTGCGCTTGGCTCCAAGAGACTTTTTTGTAGGTCCTGAGACACCACATTAGTGTACCAAATTTCGTAATCCTCAGTCAAAGCATAGCTTGGGGCTATTAGTTTAAATGGTCCTAGGGGGCGCTATTTAAGAAAATAGGCCACGCCCACAAATTTCAGATATCTATGTCGCTTGGGGGTCAGACTAGGATCACGCACCAGAAGTTTCGTAGCAATATCACGATAACTGAAGAAATGAGAGGCAAACATACTTCCATGGCGTGATGGCGATTTTCGCCATGCTCCTGAAGCCCCGCCTTTTTTTGAAACCTGCCAGTACTGGATACCAAGTGACCTCAAGTTGTCTACTGCTGTTTACCAGAGATCCCTGCTGATTGGGTAAAAGGAGTCCAGTAGGGAGCTGTGAAAAAATGAGTGGCGTGGCGACAGGTCAAAGTTTGAGGCTTAGCCACGCCCACACCGTTAAACTTTTGAAAAATCCGACGGTTGAATTTTTTCCTCTTTGTCTTAAGAGTATATAGCAGACGTTTCAAGGAGATTGGTGAAAAGGGCGACGGAGCATCACTCTCCAAACAAGGTGTGCGAAAACCAGTAAATCGCGTACTTGGACCAAAATGGCCGACTTCCTGTGCGACTTTGCACTTGGGTCCAAGAGACTTTTTTGTAGGTCCTGAGACACCACATTAGTGTACCAAATTTCGTAATCCTCAGTCAAAGCATGGCTTGGGGCTGACAGTTTTAATCGTCCTAGGGGGCGCTATTTCAGAAAATAGGCCACGCCCACCGGATGTTCACATCAGATCTTTTAGGGGGCCAGACTAGGATCACTCACAAGAAGTTTCGTGATGATATCTTTAGAAATGACGAAATGGGAGGCAAACGTAAGGCCACGGCGGTACGCCTGACTTCGCCGCGCCGCCACAGCCCCGCCCTCTGCCGAAAACTCACATAATGTGACACCAAGCAACCCCCACTTGTCTTGAGTTACCAGCTACAAATTTGTGGTGATTTAGTGAAATGGGGCAATTTGGGACCTTTCACAGTAAAACTTAACCTTTTTGGTCCTGAGGGGGCGGGGCTTGTGTGATGTCATCATGTGACCATTCAATTTACTTTGTGAGGTGATGACGAATGACCACAGAAAGTTTGGTAACTCTATTCCATTCAGTTATGAAGTTATAGCAATTTAAAAAATTTTGGCGAGTAGTCAAACTTCGAGGCCTGGCCCCGCCCCTTCAGTATTTACGAAAAGTCAATTTTATTGTCTCATTTTGTTCGCCCATCTCTTCTGAGCAATTTTACAGAATTTTTGAGATGATCGTGCAAAAAATGATCGAGCAATCCAATCAGAAACGGACCCTAAAAACGGCCAAAACGGCAAAAAATCGCCATTTCAACCCAAAATGGCCGACTTCCTGTTTGATATTGACCATGCTTGCAAGAGACTTTTCTGTGCGGACTATTGAGTACTATAAGTGTACCAAATTTCATAACGGTACGATAAACTAAGCTTTATGGAGAGGGTTTTTTTTCATTTTCTAGGGGGCGCTGTTCAGCCATTTTCTTTGCGATTTTTTTGGGACCTTTAAAATATCAAATTTTTCACCAGGCCTGACAAGTATGCAAAATATTGTGAGTTTTGGGGTATGTTAAGGTCCCCAAAAAGCCAGTCAAAGCGGCACCGGAATAATAAATAAAAATTAAAGCTGCAAGCAGCGTCGTTCGGCCCTCGCAGCTCCGCGCCGCTCCGGCCTGGCCGGCAGCCCGGGGCACCAGGGCACGTCCCCGGAACAGAAAGTCCACCACCCCGACACCAGAAACCGCTAACGGTCACCTTGTCCGCACCTCACCATGACTCAGCATCCCCTCTGAGCTTACCATTGAATTACACGTCTCACCACTAGGGCATACTCTATCTTTACCACACTGATGGTGTGATGACAGTGACCAACTTTAATGCTATTCTGACCATGTTTTTTTAAGTCATCGAAGGTTAAAGATATCTAGGGGGCGCTGTGACCAACTACAGAAAAGTCCCATTGAGGTCAGCGTTGGTTGACAAAGATGGTTTTCTGTTATTTTGGCATCAATCGGACGTTGTGTGCGTTATCTAAAGCCAGTGAGTGAAAGGGGCGGAGCTACAGGGATTTGAACCAACAACTCAATCAATGTGTTTGGTGCAGTCACGTGATGTCACAAGCCAAGTATAATGCCATTCTGACCTTGTCTTTAGAAGTTAATAAAGTTTGAACCCATCTAGGAGG